ACCACAATACTGATAAGTGATTAATAAAAGTTAAAAGACCAAAGAGGTCACCTTAATACCAAAAAAAAAAAAAAAACAAGATAGTTTACTTATTAGAAATATAGCTAAATAACAGAATAAGTAAAGTGCTAATAAAAAAAAAACTAAAAAAATAATTAGTTAAACAATAAAAGATCTTAGATACAAAAAAATGACAATGAGTTAGATTGTATATATAAACAATATAGTAATAATACTAAAATTAGTTATATGTTATAGCTAACAAAAATATTAGAAAGAAGTATAAGTAAAATACACCAACCAATAATAAGCTTAGCAAAGCAAAAGAGCAGCCTACAAAGAATATTAGAAAATTGTGTAATAGGATACAAAGATCTTGAAAGCTATAAAATATTATAACAAAAATTAACAATAAAACAAATAATTGCCTATTAGCAAGACTAAACAAACAAAATAGTCTTGAACAGTTAACAAAACCAAGAATAACACAAGACTACCAAAGAGCAGATTTAACAAAAGATATATAAAAAATAGAAGAGATACTAAAAAACATAAAAAGTTAAAAAAATAACTTAGTATATTTAATATTATTAAAAGCAAGAAAGCTTAATATAAATATAAAAATGAAAGGCAATTTATGAACAATGTTTGGATATAAAATCAAAATAAGAGAACTCATAAATATGTGACTACAGAAAAAAGTGGTATTAAAATAAACAAAACAGGCTTAATATATTTGAACCAGCTACTAGATACAAAAAAAAGATGTTAATTATATAGCAGCAACTAAAAAGCTACCAAGATTTATTAAATAAAGAAAAAAAGCAAAATAGTTCAAAGTGATAGACTAAAAGTGCTTAGTAAACCAGAAAACAAAAAAGTTAAAAGTCAATTTAGAACAATTAGACAAAATACTTAAGCAATACAAATAAGATAAGAAAAGATCTTAAAAGATAAAAAAGAAAAGAATGGGTAGCACATGGTACACAGAACTATCAACAGTTAGAAAAGATAGTCAAGAAGAAAAGAAAAAAAATATTAATAAAACATTGGCAAATGCAGAATAAAAAAAATAAATTAGCTATCAAAATTAACAGATATAAAGTTGTATAAGAAAAGAAGAATACTGAAAAGATAGTTGCCAGCAGTGGATAAGAATAAATAACAGAATCAATGTAATTTCAGATATATTAATAAAGAAAGGCAGCAACAAGATTGAGATAGCAATAGATCAAATAACAGAAATAATAAAGACAAACAAACTAGTGATCAGAAAACAGAATTTTGAAGGACTAAAAGTAATAGAAGAGCTAAAAGTAAAGATAATCAGATAACAAAAATTAAAAGTTAGTATTAGTTAAGAAATAGTAAAAGTTCTAAGAAAGAATATAATAAGAAGCAAAAACAAGTATATTGTTACAGTAGGGAGGCCTTCTTTAACTTCTTACTATAACAATGACATGGCTACAGGGATTCTTTACAGGTTTATAGTGGTGTCCAAGAGAGAAGTATAGTAGCTTTAACTATTTAGCAACTATACCCTTCTTTGAGCAGTTTGGTTAAAATAATACAACAGTTTATAACTTTATTAACTTGGGAGTGATTGACCTTGCCTGTAGGAATTACCCTAGAGGGGAAATATCAATATAGTTTATAGATAAAGATAATAACTTTATTAAAGGAATAAGGCTATCCATTAGGTTTCTGTTCCTAAGGAATCCTTTTACACTTTACAAGGGTTACTAAACTAAAAGGTAGAGGGAGAGGGGTGTCTGTAACTTGCTTGACTTGGGGAAATTCTTAGGGTTTATATATCCGTTAACAATCATTAAAGCTAAACATCAAGGCTTAATAATTATTAGAGCAAAATGTCAGACATCATGTGTCAAGCATCAAGCGTTAAGCATTAAGTGTCAAGCGTTAAGCATCAAGCGTCAAGCGTTAAGCGTTAAGTATCAAGTGTCAAGCGTTAAGTGTCAAGCGTCATGTGTCAAACGCTGTATTTGTTCTACCTACTATAACTAAATAATAATAATAATAATTAATACTAATAATAATAATGCTAATAAATAATAAAATATACATTCATGAAACTATACTAAAATATAATAATAAAATTTATTCTATAACATTTCTGTCCCTTTAAGAAATTTGCTCTGCAAATTTATCTCCTAAGTCTTTAACCAAGAAAGTGAAATCTTTGTCGGTAAGCCTGACAACTTGTGTAGCGGCCAAGTATTTTGTCTAGTAGATTATAGTTTTTGGTCGAAAAGTAAAAATTTTTTAAATACAATGAGCTCTTTTCCAAATGTCTCGAGCTTTGTGAGCACCATTGGTTTCTTGTATTCATTCTTTAATCTGTTCCTGGTTAGCTTTATTTTCTTGGATAAGAGTTCCCAAATAATAGTAAGCTTCAAGAGTTTTGATCTGGTTTTCTCTTGACTTGGCATGAGTAGGAAGTTTTTCCAAAATATCATTAAGTTTTTCCTTCTAAGTTGTTTCTTTAAAAGGTGAGATTCGAGAGGCTTTCTGAGGTTCAAGAGGTTGCATGAGGTCTTCCTTTATTTTCACAAGTGGATTTGGTTCATTTAATTCTTCTTCTAAGATAAAAATCAGGTTATTAATTGGTTCATCCAAACTTCCAATAAGTTGATCGATTTCATTTAAAGCTGTTTTTTCAAGCTGTGATAAAATATCGATAACTTGGTCTGGTATTTGGTCATCCCATAGTATTATATTTTGGGAGAAGATTCCTAAATTATATTGAGCAGCAGGGTCTTGCCTCCAAATAGAAATAAAATTTTGTAAGGCTTGAATAGTGTTAGGTTGCAAAATAATAGTATTCATTTTTAAATAGTTAAATTGTTAATTTAGAGAAATTTGCATGATTAGGTTGTCTATATATATATATTTTAAAGTAATACGAGATTTTCAAAATGTTTTTCATTGTGTTACTCCCTTCCACATTAAATTTCTTCCAGAAATTTGCTAAGTTTCAACAACAACTATTGGTTCCCAAATCTGTTTCTCATAATATTTTGCTAATCGATCACTATTGTAATAGTTTTGTAAGATTTTTCCTTCTTTATTTCGTAAT